CTCTGATCAAGACACCTGCAAGTCACAAGCACCTAAAGACAAACTAGAGCTTGGGGTGAATGTGTGTATATGTACACACATACTTTTGTTGATGTGTATCCAGCACATGATGGACTGTGCATATACATTGGTGTGCCAACATGCATATTTGCTGTGGGATGTAGGAAGATACCCTAAGAGAATTGAAGGGATGGAAAAAGAGGGTGGGCATGTTCAGACAACAGTTTCATGCTCTAAAATTTCAGTAGTACAATCAAAGCTAAATATACCCCAATCCTGAATCCTCAAAGCAACCTTTAATTGGGCTCTTGTGGCAGCCATGGTGGTGGTGTTGTTGTACTTCCAAAGGTGTGCTCTGTGGCTTGGAGGCCCACCCATCATTGCCTGATTGCATTGAAACAAGCTCATGCGAAGAGGTAACGGAAACATAGGTTTGCAGCAAATCTTGAGAGAACTAGAATTTGCAAAGCTAAGTGGCACCCTAGTAAAAGGCTAGTCTGGAATCTTTATAACGTTGACACACAAGAACCCAGCCTGGTGACGTGGAGGGTAATGATTCTGCTGGAAATCAAAATCCTGAGAGACTCAGGATATAGGAATATGTGAACAAGAGAAGCGATTACCCTGCCTTGAGAGGGGCCGATTCCCCTGTGAGGGAGGTATGGTGCAGGTGTTTGGCTAACGGAGAATATTTTATTGTCAGTCTTTTCCTCATTCTTACCATTAAATCAGAGACTGGGGAGAGGGAGGAAATGACACTTTAGCAAATGGAAATTTGAGAAATAACTACTTCTGAGGATACAAAAATCCTATGGAATGAAGTTCAACTGGCAGTACAGTGAAGAGCACCTGCAGGAGTGATTCTCTTGTCTTCCCCACTATATTTATGTTTTCCAACATGCATTTCAAGTCGCTCCAGCTATGAGTGGCTCCACCACTGAACTGTGAACTATTTGGGAATCATTGCTTATCCATCTTGATCAGTCTCTTTGGAACCCCACCATGCACTTTGCAGCAAACCCTCCCCTTACATTCTGTTTATGTTTGTTAAAATAAACAAATTTTAAGATGGATAGTACTTTGAGCACCAAACTGGGAGTCAGAAGTGTGAGGTGTCCGCAGAATGAGCCACTAATAAACTTTTTAATCCCGGCAAATCTCTTTGATCTTTATTTTCAGTTTCTTATTTCTTATATAGAAAAACTGCTTCAGATGAACCGCAAGATAAATTTTAACCATAATATTCTGGAGGGAAAAATAACTCCTTTCCTTTGGGAAATGTAAAATCACTTATCAGTGGTATTTGTAATTATATACTCTAAAAATAAAAATTCCTATGCATACACAAAACCCTCCTATTTAAACTGATTAATCCATCTCAACATGACTGGTAGTATATTTTATCTTAATATTCTTAAAAGAAAAAGAATTTTTTAATTTATGGAAAAATAAAAAGCATTTAAAACTTTAAGCAACGCAAATTACACTCTTAGATTGACAGACATTCATTTATCTGACACATAGAACATAGAAAAGCGTGTTCTAATTTGTCTAAATGTTATATAAGACCAACTGAGCGATAGCATAGTGGTAGGGTGTTTGCCTTGCACACAGCCAGCCCGGCTGACCCGGGTTTAATTCCTTCGCCCCTCTTGTAGAGCCCGGCAAGCTACTGACAAGCTACCCGTGATGTATTCAATATGCCAAACACAGTAACAAGTTTCACAATGGAGATGTTATTGGGCCCGCTCGAGCAAATTGATGAACAACGGGAGGAGAGTTCTACAGGCTACAGTTATACAAGAAATCTGTTTGCGCCAGCAAATAATTGTAATTAATACTTTTCAACCTCTGTCATCTAAAATGCCTGCCAGTCAAAATGATCCTTTGGGATTAACATTGAGCATATGGTTAGAATTTCAGAATGATAGTTGTTTTATAGATGGTGTTTAGTGCACATTATTAGACTACTCTTCACTAAAATTGCTTCTAAAAGCATACATTTTGCTATTTGTAGGCACAAGGTAATTTCCTATGAAGAACAGTAAGCACTGGAATTTAAGTTCCACTCTGCTCTATTGTGATTCTGAATGTTCCATTTCTCAATACATTCAATAGTTAGTATTGGCCTAGGAATGTTGACCAGAGACATGGAGGTAACAGGATTGAAAGGCAATGACCTTCAGCAATCACTCTATCTACCTAAGCCTTGATGTACTCCAGAATCCACTAGGGTCTTTGGGTACCCTTGGGGGATCTAATGAAGATTTTATTTTTAAATAAGAACTAAATCTCAAGCTGTGTTTCCCTCCATGCTTCAGATGTCTAGGAGTGTGTGTGTGTGTGTGTGTGTGTGTGTCTGTGTGTGTGTGTGTGTGTGTGTGTGTGTGTTGGGAGGGAGTGAAAGGAGATGAGGATTGGGAAACCCTGGTCTCCAGACTCAAGGCTCTAAACATGAGAGAGAGAGAGAGAGAGAGAGAGAGAGAGAGAGAGAGAGAGAATGTGTGGTGTGTTTATCATGGGTGGGGTGGGGCTGGAGGGAATCTGGGGACATTGATGGTGGGAAATGTACACCGATAAAGGGACAGGTGTTGGAACATTATGAACCTGAAACCCAATCATGAACAACTTTGTAACAGTGTATCTCCCTATGATCAACAAAAATAAATCAATAAATAAGCAAATAAACAAAGACTCAGAGCATCTTCTCTGCCCAAGTCTGGTATTCTCTCTGTGTTCACAAGCACTCCCAACCTCAAAGCCATTGAAAAAGTGATCCGCTCTTTTGGCAAGGAGTTGTTCAAAACACCAGTGGTTTGAGGTCAGCTGAGGTGTGACTGCTAGCGCCATAAACATGCAGACATGTGTTGATTCGGCTTTCTCTGATGTCGCATTTACTTGTCCGAAGGATGAGGAGGGGGAGGGGTATTCTTCCTACTCACCTTGACCCCTGCCACCCCGGCCAGTGCTTAAGGGTCCTCGGATTTTCTTTATTAAAGCTGGTAATTAGAGGAAAGTAGAAAGAAGCCAAATGGCAGTGACAGGACCCCTCCCAAGTAATAACAGGAACCTGTGCGTGCCCTTCCCAATGCCTTTTATGCCCCTTCTAAAAGGAAATCTGAGAATGATAGTAGGTCAGGATTTTGAGTGATGAGCTGTTGTTGGGGGTTGGGGGGGCGACGACGACGACATCTGTCATTTGTACTTGTCCTTCAAGAAGAAGGAAGAAAAAGAATGGAAGCCCAACTCTAAAACCTGATGAGTACTTTTAAAAATTTTTTTTAATGAGCTCAATTCCCAGCACCACTTAACCCTTTCCTATTCTGCCTTTTAAAAGCAAAAGAGAGTTCGAGTGATTGGCCGGTCCACGATAGATTGGGCCACAGGAGAAAGGCGCGCGGGATCCGGAGAGGGGGTGCCCCGCGGGCGGCTCGCACACAAAGGCACGGAGTGCCAGGGTCGCCCGAGGCCCTGCCCGGGAGCAGCGCGACGCGCCAGGAAGCGCCCGCGGCTCTCCGGCCGCCTGGCCCCTCTGCTGGAGGCTGGGAGAACTTAGTCACCAGGAGCCCGGGGAGCGTCTGGGACCAAAGGGGCCAGAGAGGAAGGAACCCCGGGACCCGCATGGCCTGGAGGGAGCCTCAGGCAGCGCTGGGCGTTGGGGGCGCACGGGAGCTGCCAGCCCTGTCGCTGGTGGATAGAGCTGCAAGGTCCGCGCGGCCAGAACGCTTAGGCTTTGCAAAGACAGAAACTTGCAGCAGGAACTTCCTACCAAGGCAAAGCAAAGCAGGAGAGGAAGGAGGCAAGGAGAGACTGGAAACGTGTCAGTGACTTGAAAGACACCCCCAAACACCCCTGCTGGAGATGAGGTAAGCCGAGGTTAGCCAAGCCCCACTCGTTGTGAAATATCAGACAAACCCGGAGCCGCTGTGGCTTTAAGTGAGGCCAAGGAACTCCTGGTTTCCAGACCCGAATTCTCCCTCCACCCCCCCGCACACCCCCACCCTCTCTGGTCCTTGCTCCCTCCCTCCGCCCCTCCCTCCACCCGTCGGGTCCCTTCCCGGTCTTCCTTTCCTCGATCACCCTCCCCCTCTCCCTCCCTCCCTCCCCCATCTGATTAGGCGCGGACCGGGAAGGGTGGGAGTGGTGGGGGAAGCTCTCCCTTTAAGAGCAGCTTGCAGTGACGAATTGTTGAAATTGCCATTGCAGGATGGCATGCCGCTATAAATTCATTGTTCCACCTCCTCGCATCTTCACTGCGCTCGCGCTGCTCTCCGCGCTCGCAGCGGCCGACTGGGGATGACCGCGGGCAGAAGACACGGCACCCGAGGGGACCCGGACGCGCCGCTCCACCGGCTCGCCGCACGCCGCCCGGGGCATTTGACTTGGCATTTTTGATGGCTTTCATTCCTCCCCCGGCCTCGCTTTCTTCTCTTCCTTCGGGTTCCCGTCGAATCAGGCCACGCACAAAATAAGGAAGAGCGCCCGGGACTTGAGCATCCCCGCTGTCTGCGGGGTCCGGAGCAGTCAGAGGGCTGGAGGCAGCGCACACCAGTTGCCCGCCGGGTGCGCGTCACCTCCCTTCTCACTTTTTTTTGGGGGGGGGAGGCGTGCAACGATTGTGGCTGTATTCGGGGTTGGGTTTATTCCCATTTTCCTAAATTGCTGGATCTCCCCAACGCAGCTTTTTTTTTTTTTTGCAATTTTTACTCCCCTCCACCTACCACCGCCCCCCCAACCCCCCTCCCCTCGCCACTTTCTGGAGAACGAATGCAAACATTTTGCAAACCAACAAAGAAAAGTTCGCACGCTGGCACGGCGGCCCGGGACAGACTGGCACAGCTGCCCGGTCGCCCTCCTTCCGACACTTGACTCAACCTTGCAAGCCTGTGTGTGTGTGTGTGTTTGTGTGTGTGTGTGCCCGCGTGCGCGCGTGTGCGTGTGTGTATGCGTGTGTGTGTGTGTGTGTGTGTGTGTGTGTGTGTGTGTGTGTGTGGTGCACCTCCCGCCCCGGTAACTTCCAGAGCGAATAACAACTAGCTTTAAAAAGTGCCCGGCGCGCAGCCCCTCCCCGCGGGCAGCGCACTATGCTGCTCGGGTGGGCGTCCCTGCTGCTGTGCGCGCTCCGCCTGCCCCTGCTCACCGCCAGCGCCGCCGCGGCACCTGCCCAGGATAAAGCCGAGCCGCCTCGGGCTGCTGCTGCAGCGGCCGCCCAGCCCCGCCGGCCGCAGGGGGAGGAGGCGCCGCCGGAGCCCGCCGAGCCTCGGGGCCGCCCGCACCCCCGCGCGGGGCTGGTGCAGAACATCGACCAGATCTACGCGCGCGGAGGCAAGGTGGGCTACCTCGTCTACGCGGGCGGCCGGCGGTTCCTGCTGGACCTGGAGCGGGATGACTCGGTGGGCGCCGCTGGACTGCTGCCCGCGGGAGGCGGGTCGAACTCCAGTCGTCGCCATCCGGGCCACTGCTTCTACCGGGGCACGGTGGACGGCAGCCCCCGGTCCCTGGCCGTCTTCGACCTCTGCCGGGGACTCGACGGCTTCTTCGCCGTCCGGCACGCGCGCTACACCGTGAAGCCGCTGTGGCGCGGGCCCTGGGCCGAGACCGAGGCCGGGCGCGTGTATGGGGACGGATCCGCGCGCATCCTGCATGTCTATACCCGCGAGGGCTTTAGTTTCGAGACCCTGCCGCCGCGCACCAGCTGCGAGACGCCGGCGGCCCCGCCCGGGCACCGCCGCCAACGCACCCCCGCGCACGGCCCATCCGATCGCCGCTGGACGCTGGCCGGACAGTTCCAGGAGCGCTCGGGTTCTTCCGACGACGGGGGCCAGGGGCCACCTACGTGGTGGCGGCGACGGCGCCGCTCAGTCTCCAGGGCCCGCCAGGTGGAGCTGCTGCTGGTGGCCGATGCGTCCATGGCACGGATGTATGGCCGGGGCCTGCACCATTACCTGCTGACACTGACGTCCATCGCCAACCGCCTGTACAGCCACGCCAGCATCGAGAACCACATCCGCCTGGCCGTGGTGAAGGTGGTGGTACTCGGCGACAAGGACAAGAGCCTGGAGGTGAACAAGAACGCCGCCACCACGCTCAAGAACTTCTGCAAGTGGCAGCATCAACACAACCAGCTGGGGGATGACCACGAAGAACACTACGACGCCGCCATCCTGTTTACGAGGGAGGTAAGTCCAGCCCGTAGGTGCGGCGGGAAGAGGGGGACTGGGGTGTCCAGAGGGCACGGAAGTGTCCAGAGGATACAGAAGGAGCAGGTAGGTGAAATGAACCCGGCTGTTTGGGGTTGGTTTGCTTGTTCACGGCCTTGGTTCTTTCCCAGCCTCCCAGCCACTAGGGATCTGCGTAACTGTTACTTGCAAGACAATCAGGCAAGTTCCCAAGAACTTGTCCCAGTCCGGTGGCCCGAGTGGCGATTGTCACCAGGAGAGATCAGACCTGGTCAGTGAGCTCAGCCCTGGGTGTCTCTTTCCAGCTGGAAAACCTTTCTAGGCTGAGAGACGATGTTCTAGGTGCCCGTAAAAAAAGAACTAGAACGCTTAGGGGAAATGCAAACTTAGTAATGGGGAAGGGGGAAGAGCGGGGTTATGTCGGGGACTCGGGGTGGTGGGGGGGGGCCTTCTCCTTTCCAGTGAATCCCTAAGTATAACTTTCAGTCTCGTGGAAGGTGTTTGGCGGTTGGATCCATCGTAATCACTTGTATCTATTACCTTCCTCTGTAAAAGCCATGCATTCCTCCTCATTTCTTTCTGCAACCTCAATAGAGGTAATACTTTTTTTTTTCTGTTTGGGTTACACCCAGCGATGCTGATGCTCAGGGGTTACTCCTGGCTTTGCACTCAGGAATCACTCCTGGCGGTGCTCAGGGGACCATATGGGAGGCTGAGACTCAAACCCGGGTCAGCTGCGTGCAAGGCAAACGACCTACCCTCTGTGCTGTCCCTCCAGCCAGAGGTAATACTTTTCAAATGTAGGACTCTGCATTCTCGCAGTCTGACTTCCTAATAGAATTCTGTTATTTCTCCACTGTGGTGGAATCTCAGTTCCAGGAAGGAAGGAACGTGGGGGGCAGAAAGAGAACAGAGAAGCCCAGTCTTATGAATTTCTCAGCAACCTCTTTGCCCTACTCAACTCACATCAGCAGCTCTGCCCACTCCTCCTTCTCAGCGGCCACCCAAAGGTCACATCCAGCTTGCATGTTTGCCTTTGGGTTGACTGTTTCTAGAGCTGCATGATCAGTACAGAAAGATCTGGCAAAGAGTCAAGATATGAGAATGGAATGTTTTCCCAGAATTTTTCTCTTTCAAAGATGATGGTTACAAGAAGGGAGGGAAATTGAGAGATTTAGAGAAAACACAATAGATCTATTAGCAGTCATTAGAACCCCACCCCAGGGTCACCTGCAGAATCCAAACCCGGTTGGGATGGGAGGTTAGCTCACTGAGAGCTGGAAGTCTCATTGCAACTCCACTCTGATTGGCAGCTTCAAGACTTGTCTCTCAGAGTGTCTGAGCTAAGGTCAAGAGAGAGAAATAGACACTTTGAAATATCCAAAGTTATGGTATGAAATAGAGCAAACAGACCTAGGAGAGGAAACTAAATGATGTTTTGCAGCTCAAAATCACACAGCTCAACCACTGAATCTCCTATTTTTTTCCTAAGGCACCACTGGTATGAAGAAAAAGTGTTGATAAATTTGGAGCTGAGGAACCCTTGTGGTTCATGGGTTGGACATAAATGTAAACCACATGTAAACAAAGACTCCAGAGGGCAGCAGTTTAAGGCATCTCAGGCAACAGGGTTCTGGACCCCGTGGAAAATCTTTCTTCTCCTTCAGTGATCTTCTGGAATCCACCCTTTCATTTCTCTGCACAATATTAGTCTTTGAAATGGAAGAACATTTATTTTGTAGTCTTTCCTGTGAGGTGAAACTCTCCTGTAAAACTATCCATTTCTTATTGGTTCCAAGTCTTTTTTTTTTTTTGTTAGCAACTTTCCATGTCTGGATTTCTTGCTTTGCTACATCATAAGAGACTGCCAAGAGGGAGGTTTCAGAGAGTTTATGGAAGGAAGTGCACTAAAGACAGAGGAAAAAATACTTTTATAGACATACTACTTCCAAGGAGTAGATCATATTAGTAATTTTATTTCCTAAATACACATGTATCTTTTAAAAAATTAATACAGCTAAGTAGAAAACCCCATTCCTCCCAACCTCTTCTTCCATAATTTTCCTAATTGTGTCTCAGCAGGAGAAAGAAAAGAAAAAACAGTCAATAATTACAAGTAATCTGTCCATTGCTTTTATTGGATTGAGTTTTTAATTGGGTTACTTAACAATTCTTGTTTTCCAAACTTTGAAACTTGCTTGTCTATATAAATAGGTAAAAGTTAGGGAGAAATAAATCAACAATCAATATTAATATAAATAAAATTTCATAATAACATACATTTTCTTATATACCAGTTTACACATGGAAAATATTTTACATGGTTCCTCTCTCTGGTCTTCTTGCCAAGCAGAAGTAAACTTTTAGCAAAGAAAATTTTATTTGGCTTTTGGTTGGCCCTCTGGTATATCTAACTTTACATGAACCAGATCTTTAAAAGCATATCTTTTATGAATATAAGTACCTAATTTAAAAGGCTCTATTAGTTAAGGGGTTGAGGAAAATATTCCAAGAGCCTTATGCAGCATGCATTTGGGAGGACTTCAAAATGAACAATTAACCTAAAAGTTCTAAACAAGAGATCTTTCTCCAGCTCACTCTTCCTTCCCATTGAGATCAGATATTTAAGGAAGTGCTGAAGAGAAACCATTATGGATATTTTTTTTCCAGTGAAAAATACCCAGAGCTGGCATTGGAATTCTACTTTTACAACCCTGTTTTGAATGTAAGAAGGATGATGCTCAGTAGGCTGATGCCAAGTCTTCAGATCTGTGTTTTGATGGGCTCTGAGCACTGTTCAAGATGTCCTGGGTTCACATGTGTTCTCCTAAATTGCTTGTTTTCCAAGCATGAAGCAAATTCTGAGGAGATGTTTTCCACTCCTGCTTACTATCCCGGGCCACCTTGAACATTGTGTCTGGAAGTCAGCAGAAGAGCAGTAGTAATAATTCATTTATCCAACTAACACGCTTCACTGTCAGGACTGTGCCCAGCACTTGGAACAGATCTAATTAGGGAAACTTAGCACCAGTCAGATTTTTGGCACCAGAACCAGTTCATTCTTGAATGGCACTTAAGCTGGAATTCACACCGTTTCTGCCCTCAAACAGTAGAAATCCAATCTTCCTAGGATTTCATTTTGCTTTCCAGAGTCCTTTCCTTATTCTTGGCTTCCAGTAAAAATAAGGTTTATAAAGACGCATGATTATATCCAATTTGGAAATGACTTTTTAGAAGCTGAAACTATCTACTGCAGAATAGAAATTGGAAAAGGTTTTGACATCCTTCACCCCTGCACAAACATTGGACGGAAACTGGACCAGCTAGGAGACTCTGCAATGAAAGTGGGTTTATTTACTTTCATTGATGATAAACGGGCCAGTTAACAAGCAATAGAATTCCAGCTCTGTTGCGTGTCCTGCCTGGTAGTGCCCAAATGGGTTCTCCAAAGACAGCAGGTCTGCAGCAAGAATAGAATGGCCTCCTGTCCTAGTAGTAGTGGGCACAAGAGGGTGACATCCAGTGTGGAGGAAGGAGGAGAATGTTTCTTTTTCCCTCAGTTGTTGCTCCTCGATGAATTGATTCAATAGCCTACTTGAGTTCAAATCCTACTAAAGTCAACAGTACATCCTGTCAAGAAGTCCTAGCCATAGGAGAATCCTACTTGGTATAATGCTAAACAAGTCAGAAGTGGCAAGCCTGGGAAGAGACTAAGAAACTCTCATGGATATTTTATAAGTAACTTGTGACAATTCTGAAGATGTCCAGTCTCCAATATGCCCTAATGTACCTATTTTTAAGTTAAGCTATTAGTTAAGGGACTGAGAAAAATATCCCAAGAGCCTTTTGCAGCATGCATTTGGGAGGGATTCAAAATGAACAATTAGCCAAAAAGTTCTAAACAAGAGGAGAACTCACTCTAACTGACTCTTCTCTCATGGAAATCAGTTATTTAAGGAAGTCCTGAAGAGAAATGATGTCTATTTTTTTGTTTGTATCAGTGAAAAATACCCAGAGTTGGCGTTGAGATTCTACTTTTACAACCCTGTTTTGAATGTAAGAATGACCTTTTTCACAAGTGTATTCTGAATATTCAGTACTTGGCCATGAGCACCAGCTCTATGTGACACACACATATTAAGTTGCCGAAGGCAGGGTGAAGGACTGTAACTGGTTCCTGTTTGCCTGGTATTAACAGCAGAGAAGAAGCAGATAGTTACATGAAATAGTCTAAAGTTAGGGAAACTATGGTAAATACTGAAACTGAACTTTATTAAAAAGGACTATGAAATTAAGATGAAATGGAACAATGCATGTTGCCAATACATTTTCTCTATATTTATTGAAATAACATTGATTTGTAATACTATGTAAGCATCTTATATCTGTTTTTAAAGTGCACAGTTGTGCATATCATATGATACCCATTATCAAATATTTCTTCACCACCTAAAACCCATCAGTCAACCCTATCATCTATCTATAGATCTTTATACACTCTTCACTACAATTATAGAATTGCATTGATTCTGAAAGACAGGTAAATTTTATTCAGATTCAATCAATTTATATTGAGTAATCTTATGAATTTATCCATAGTAATAAACTGTTTTATGATTAATATTTTAGCAGTCTGAAACCCTATTGTCTAATAATTTGATGGATAAAGACTTCCATATAAAGAAAAGTATATAATTTCATAGTCATAGATGATAAATGTCAGAGACACAAGATAGTTTTGCTTAGTAGTCTCTAAAATGAAAATATGGCTAATTTATAAAGACATTCCCAAATTCCCAATAGAGGCAAGATAACCCAGTGATTTGGAAGGCTGTCCCTTTCCTTAGAATATATTACAGGAAAGAGACAAAGAAACAGATAATTGTTAAGAAGTTGAAAACATGACTTATTACAGATGCGGTTATTTGATAGCATAGAGTACATAAGTAGATTTATAAATCCATCTAATCCAATTTGGAAGGATGAGTAGCATTAAGCAG